TTCTTTTGGGCAAGAGGTCCCGCCTTTGGTCTGCCAGCATTTCACCAGATCTGCTGTTGTGTTTTGGTGTTAGTCCCCGCCCCCCACAAAATAATGCTGACTTTCCCCATTGTGTTACCAGGAAGTAACTTCCAGCTGTTGTGGATGTTCTTGATCAGGGCTTAGTTAGTAAATTGCAGTCTGCTGCCTGTTGCTCATAGTGTCAGATTGGATCACAGTTGCACCCCTTTGTTGATGTATTTGTGTGTGGCTGTTTTGTGCTAGCATGGCAGAGTTGAGTGGGTGTGGTAGAGACTATGCCTACAAAGCCTAAAATATTTACTCCCTGGCCCTTTACAAGATCAGTTCCTAGCCCTCAGTTCTGCTGTGTGGTGACTGTCCGATGTGGTGGAGACGCAGTGCGTACATAACGAGTTTTAAGGCCCGGGCCAGGAACTTCGGGCACATCATCGAGGTACTTTGAGATCTTTTACTCATCTGTGAAATGGGCATTAAAAGCAACACCTACCTCTCAGGAGGTCTCGCCCGCTGCTAGTAGAAGCATGTTGTGGATGTCAGAGCAGGCCCTGGTTCAGCTATGGACGTCATTGCTGCCGTTCTGTTTTCTCAGGAGGAGGAAGCCAAGAAACTGGTGAGCGAAGCCATTGCTGCTGGCATCTTCAATGACCTGGGCTCTGGAAGCAACATTGATCTCTGTGTCATCAGCAAGAGCAAGCTGGATTTTCTCCGCCCATACACAGTGCCCAACAAGAAGGGGACCAGGTGAGTGAAGGAGACAAAGTTCTTTCTGGGTCCCCTGGCTTCGTGGCCACCCTTGGTATCTCCATGGCATCTGGATGGAGTTTTCTTGGTTCTTCCCATGTTAAGTACATCCAGTGTTCCCAAATCAGCCTCCCACAGAGAACTTTGGCTCATTACTTGCTTTATGACAGTGGGGTGCTGTCAGGTGTAGGAGAGTGATTTAATTTGATGGGAGGGGTGGAGGGTGGCCCAGGAAAGAGCCCTAGGCTGGGAAGTGCAATAGAGAGGTTTGGATCATCTGCTGCCCTTTCTCACGTGTCTTAAGAATCCCCTGAATTCTGTGAGAAGGTACATTTTTCACAGCAGCCTCAGCACTTTCCCTCAGAGTGCTCCGAGATTCCTAACTGGGTGTAAGCAGTGCTAACAGACTCCCAGTGGTGGCCTGGAGCTAATGTGTGTCTGCTGTGCTACTGGGAGTTGTGCCATTTAGCCTGTGCTACATGCTGAGTGGGCCCCTTGGATCAGTGGTACAGCTCAGACTCACTGGTGGGAGAGGTTCTAGTTGATCTGCTGAACAGAGCTGGAAGTTTTCCAAACCTGGTGGCTGTCATGTGTCAGAGGAGCAGCTCGTTTGCAGTGTTTCATGATCATCCAGCTGCTTGACCGTCCTATGGCTCCTACCTCTTCTGGGACCCCAAGCAGCTCAGGATGAGCTCCCTGAGCGCTGCTTCCGGCTGTACCCATCTGAGTGCAGCACAGGGTATTTATATACTACTGCTCCCACCCAGCCCCATGGCTAGCCCAGAGGATAGTGAGCATCACCTTCTGCAGGCTTGCTTTCATCTCCCACTGCACACTCAACTCCAAATCAGGAGTAATTCACAAGGAAAGAACAGAACATTCAGAACCAGCAGGTATTCACCGTGGTCTGCATTCAACCCTGCGGAAGCTCAGTGGGCCCTTGGTGGAGTGGGGCAGCACGGTGCCAGAGAGCTCGGGCACTGGGGTTGGGGAATGTTGGTGGCTGGCGGGGTGGCTTCCAGCAAATCAGTCTCCCTGTCTTTGAAATGGAGCTAAACCAGATGACCTCTAATGAGCCCACAAAGTCCCTTGGGCCTTTAGGAGGAAGGGACGCTACCTTTCAGGCCCAGAGCTGTGTTGGGGGACCGGGCTTTGCTGAGCTCCGAGTAGGTGGGAGCCAAGTACTCCACATAGCCTGCTTCCCTGGTTGCTGCAAGACGCTGCATGATGTGAGCAGGCCATGTCAAGTGGTGATGGGGTAGGGAATGGTTACACTATTCAGACTGGACAGGGTCCTGGCTGAGGACTCTGAAAGCCACATTTGGGTCACTGAGAAGGGGTATTTCTGGTCGCCTAGGGAACCTGTGCTCAGTGCAGGGTCCTCATCTAAAGGGAGTATAGCAGCGGCACATTCTGCTCCCTCAGGCGGGGGCTGCCCTGCTGTAAAGAGAGGCTCCAAACACCCGAGAACAGAACCAAAATCGCCCCATGGCTGCTTGTGAAGTCAGCGAGGTGACCCAGAGGTGCTGGGTGCGTGGTGGGCGTGCAGCAACCTGCACGGAGCCTGCTCCCCATTGGTGTCCTGGGGTCAAAGGCAGCAAGTGTCCAAGCTCCCTGGAATCTCCCTGTTGTCTTCTCTGCCAGTGACTGAAGATGGGGGCACTGCCTGAGTTAGGGAGCCCTTCCCAGGGTGCATGGCAAGGTGCGGGCTGCGGGCAGGGCCATAGGTCTGAGTAAACATCCTGTGCTTTCTGCCAGTGTGGGCCTTGCCTGGCAAGTCTCTGATGCCTTCTCTGCTTGCAGCCTTCCACCACGCGGTCTTGCAGTCCACTGGCACTTAAGGTGGAAGCTCTGCCTGCATGTGGCCAAAATTGGGCACTGTCACCACAGTGGTGAAGCAGGCTCATGTGTCCAAGCCTCCCACAGACACTGAGGGTTGGTTCAGATGAGTCAGGCACACAGAGGCCATGTGGGACTTTGGCTCCAAGGTGGCACGCTGCCACCACATTCCAGCATGTAAGGAATGAGACATCTTGAAACTAATGGGGTGGGGACACATTGTTAAAAGGTACTTTTGCTTAGATCCTTTAAGAGAGTAGGGGTTAGGGGAGGCTTGGCAGAATTAAGGCAGGCCACTCTGGGCTGACCATGCTCCTCATCCGGATGTAGAACTGTGGAAGTTGCCCTCCTTGTTTTGCTTCCTGCTCCCTCTTTTAGCTCATGCGCCCAGGGGAGAGGATGGGTGTTCCTGGAGCACAAGGTCATGGCACGGCCATCAGCCTTCTGGTAGTTCCTGCCAGTTTGACAGAAATATTATCCCAGCTGGGAATAGACCAGAGGAACAGCTGGGTGTGTGCTGCCATTTGACAGTATCCTGATTCCTGACCCAATGTGAGAATTCACAGCCCAAATATGTATCTTCTAGACTGCCTGGTGCTCAGAGAAACCTCTGCCAGATTTCCTCCAAGGAAGAAGTTGTTGGGTGTATCCCTGAAGGGGACAGTTAACTTTTCTTGAGGCTTGAGAGTGGTCTGAAATGACAAGCTTAGAGCCTGGCTGCATGTATTTTTGTACTGTCTGTGCTTCCAGCTGTTGGTACAGTGTCTAAGGTAGCAGTAAGCCATCCTAGTTGCTGTACATGATAAGAACAGCCATGCCCTCCTCTTGTGTAATGATGGAATTTGCTTCCTACTGTCACTGAAGGGTACTGTGGGGAGATTGAAGATTGATGTCAAGGGACCAAGTGCTTCCCAGCACTTGCTGGGGATGCTGCGGTGGGGGAGAGTCACATGTCCATCAGGGGCCAGGGGCTGTGCTCTCTTATGCACACTAGGTGCCTCCTAGGCACCCCCATTTTGTAGCACTTGAGAGCTGAGGAATTGGAATCCCCCAAGATCACAGAGCTGGGATCGGGAGAGTCAGGACTGGAGTCCAGCCGGCTCACTGCCTTGCCTGAGTATTTGTTTTCACTGTCTCCTGCCCTCTGGCACTTTGAAGGGAATCCTAACTGTGCTTTTGTTTTTCTCTCACTAGGTTTGGGCGGTACAGGTGTGAGAAAGGGACCACTGCAGTCCTCACTGAAAAAGTCACTACTCTGGAAATTGAGGTGCTGGAAGAAACAGTCCAAACGATGGACACTTCTTGAATGGCGTCTGGGTGGCCAGCTGTGGTTCTGGAAGATGGCGGGCATTGGAGGCCCCATGTTCAGGTTTGCTGAATGAAAATAAAAAATGAAAACCAGATTGGGCAGCTGAGGTCTGGGCACTGTGTGGTATTTTTGGGGCAGTGGGGGGCTGCTGAGGCTGCTGATCCTCCTTGAGCACTGGCCCAGGCTCAGGAGAGTGTAAGAGCCATGCACCCCTCCTGGGGACAGAGAGGTTCCAGTTGCTGTCAGCAGAGTGGACTCCCTTGAGGCTTCAGGTAAACATTGATACCCTCCCCTTTTGCTGGCTGTCTTTGTTCGTGGTGGCCCCAGGTTTGATTTGAAATGGGGTGATAAGTGCAGCACAGCCTTCCACCTCAGCAGTCAAGTAGGAAAGAAATGGCAAAGATGAACCTCTGAGTCTGAGTTCTTAAGCCCAGCTCAGTTCTGAGTACCAAGAGAAGGTGGGCAGGTATACCGTTAGAGCTGTGTGAAGCTGGGTGGACCCCACATTGGCCGGTTTCACAGAAATGGATGTTTTGAGGTTACTGTTTTGTAGTAAGTAGGATGTGATCATTTCACAAACACTCAGGCCTGGAGAGTAGTTGAGATCGCACCTTCAGAGGGTCTGATTGGGCAGATTGTTCTCACAGTGTGGAAAGTGGGTGGCGTGCAGAGAGTAGGATCATTGCGTGCTGGGGCTGGCAGTGTTGGGGAGGCACAGTGGGGGCTTAGAGAACTAGAAGCACAATACTGGCAATAAGTTTGTATGGAATCAGAAAATCCTTCAGTGGTAAGCACTAGGCAGGAGATAGGGACTTGATTCTCCCTTGGAGAGAACATTCCAGGGTGAATCTGCTCTCAGGCCAGCTCCTGTGTTAGAGCTGCCAGGAGCAGGCTGGGGAGAACAGTGGAATTAGTGAGGGCAGAAACTTGGCTGATATGTATCAAAATTATTTGGGGAACTTAAAGAAATCCTGGGATTAGTGAATGTCTGGGTCCTGGGAAGTTGTTTTTCAAGGTTCCTCAAGAAATCATGCTGCAGACACTTTTAAGTTTTGGATCTACTGGTTTAAGAGCAAAATCGCCAAAGCCGTTTTAAAATCATTCATGAATTATAAGTAACTCCCTGTCACCCTGTTTTATTTCAACGATGGAGAACAAGTACAGAGGAAAGGCTGCATGTGGAGAGACGGTCGGACCGACAGTGTTGTAGCAGAACTGAGTCCACGTGTGAAAATAGCAGCCGCCTGGCCCTGGGTGTTTCCTCCAGGAAAGGCCTGGTCAGCAAATGCCTGCAGGCAGCAGGTGTCAGGAGTCACCCGCACGATGCCAGCACTGCTCTTTTCTGGAGGGCCCGACTGTCATCAGGTCAGTGACAACAGCTCAGACCACTGGAAGGTTAGCTTTGCGTACAAAACCAAAATTCAAATGATTTCCTTCAGAGCTCGAGTTTTCTTAGGTTCACATTTATAAATTAGTCTTCACAGTTAATCCTGTTTGGGAACAAGAAATAAGGAACACATTTCTGGTTTCCTACACATGATACAGGTGGACTTGAATTCTGGATTCCGTGGTCCTTGGATTTCAGGTTGTGAGGGGTGAGTGGCTGCTATTTTTGGATCATCTGCTTTGTGCTAGCTAACGTGCATATTTTCTTTCAAATTCTGTCAGCAACCCCGAAGGTAGGTAGGTAGATACTGTTAATCTCATTGTACAGACAAGGACACTGAGGCTCAGAACGGCCAAGAAACTTGCCCAAGCCTAGTCACACTAGGAAGTTGCAGAATCAGAACTTGTCAATGACAGCCCTTAGGTTTTCTCTATCCACACTTCCTTCCCATGGAGGAAAATGCGTAACACTGATGAAATGAACAGCCAGCATTCAAGGAGGTGACAAAGTGCCTGGTACACAGCAGGTGTCCAGGGGGAGATGGCCCAGCCTGGCTGCCAGGAAGATGCTCTCTCTTCTCGATGCCATTTGCCATGTGACGCTCCGGCTAGATGCAGGCCTCTTCTTATCGTCACTCACCAAGTCATAAAACGTAGATAAAAATAACAGAATCTCCACTCCACGGAAAAAAATGATTTCCACTTTATCCCTTTACAACAGAGTAAATTAAGCACACAGCCTGATTGTTTGAAAAGATACTAAGAACTAAACTGAACTTGGTACTAACCATTTTCAAAGGCTCACTATACAAATCACACGGTCTCCTGCAAGTAAGTCTCCTGTTAGCATCGACCTTGACAGGTCACTGGAGGAATTACCGGAAAGATTCACAGTACAATCCAGATACAGGGCTGCCGTGGCTCACTGAGCCACTGCCCTTGTTAACCCAGCTGGGATTGTCCGCAACAGAATAAAGAAAGGACTTTGGAATTTGACCATCAGTGATGTGTGGCCAGTGCGCCTCCCTCAGCTGCTCTGCCTTCAGCATCTGCTGTAAGGCTGCGCAGCCTTTTGGGGAACCTGCTGAACCCTGTGGGCTTAGCTGTTCTAGGCTACCAGGTGGCCACTTGAAGAGAAGACGACTCAGGTAAGGCAAAGTGGTAAGGCACGGTGCATCCACGCTCAGGTGCTGGACATCCAGACGTGCATCTGCTTGGCCACCTGGTGCACGTACCCGATGTCAGGCCTCTGGTCGGGGTCAGGGTAGATGCACATGCTGACTAGTTCTCGTAACTGCAGGGGAGAGAACGGTGGGTTATTCTCAAGAAAGCAGCCTTACTGAGGCTCCATGCTCCGCAATCTATCTGCATGAAGGTACTTGAGCCTCAGAGCAACTAGACAGTCCCGTTGTCCCCGCAGAGCTGAAGAACAGTGTTTAGTGGGGGCAGGCAAGGGGCGTGCGGCCGCGTGGCTCCCAAGGGCTAGCCAGGACCCCTCCTGGGCCTAGTGCACTTTGAGACCCTAAGACCACTGGGCAAATTGTGGGTGTGTCTTTCTCTCTGCTGGGAAAGTGTGTGTGTGTGTGTGTGTGTGTGTGTGTACTGTCAGTCACGCAGATGCCCAAACCAGAGGACAAAACTCAAGGAAAGGGCTTATTGATCATAATAAATGCATTAACATGCAGCAGGGCTGCAGCCTGCCCAATCTCGGCCCCTTTATTGTGCTCATGAAAGATGGAGCTTTTAATTATACAGACACTGAAGGCTGCTCCTGCCCCGAGGTGGGGGAGGGGCACAAGTGCCTCTGATCGGCTCAGTTCTTATGATAGCCAGAGTGCCAATTATTTTAATGGTAATTAAAATAATGACCTTAAAATGCCTACATCTTCTTAACTTGCATCACGGGCTCACCATCATTGGTTTTCATTTAAATACCTGCTGCTGGAGGGGTGGCCAGTCCCACAAGCCATGGCGGCAGCAGGAAGCCAGGAGGTCCTGAACCAGAGGAGGCTCTGGTGGTCTCAGAGGTCACACTCAGGGGAGGGGCCAAGGGACATTCTGGAGGCCCAGGGGCTAGTGCCGGCCAGGGTCCTTAGGCTGAGGGGTGGGGCCTGGGCTTCCTGTAGACAGGCTCCTGAGGTGATGGGGCATTTTCTCTGGGCTGCAGAGCCTTAGGTCAGCCGCTCCAACCTGTATGCATGCCTTATAGCGGAGAAGCCCAGGTGACAGCGGGGCCTGCAGCCTGCTGGGCTGCCCCTGGAGTCTGAGGTGGCCTATGGACCAGACGGCTGTTTTCTGAACCTTACACTATTCGGGGGAAGGTACCTGTGGTTGGCCTCTGACAGATTAAAATCCCAGAAAAACCAGATTCAGGTGAAGAGTCTGTGACCTGCACTAACTGATGAAGTAGACACACAGCTGGCAGTAAGTCCATGTTTGAAGTTTTCAGAATTCAAGAGAAATGATAACATATGTTATTTTCATTTCTAAGCAGCAATGTAACTAAAACTAGGGTGTGTCCAGGGGCTCCTGAGTACCACCTCTCAACCCCAAGCATGGGGCCCAGAAATGCTGCACAGGCCTGGTGAGAACTGGTGCTGTGGGGAGCGGGGGCTCGTGGCCAGGAAATGGCTGACTTGGAACGGGGGGTTTCAGTGTTCATTTCAGCCTCATTACTGAAGCAGAGAGGACAGTTCCTGTTTATAGATTGACAACCAAAGCACAGGGCTGTCATCTGCTTCAGTTGCACGGCTTCAAGCTTCTGAATTGTACACAAGTCCAAATTCAGAAGATGAGAAAGGAAAAAGCAAATGGCAACTCTTCACTTTGTAAAGAGATGCAACTTGTTTTTCCTCCCACTGGGGAGCATCAATACTTCTTCCAAAGGTACAGGTTGAAACTGTGAAGCTAGGAGAGGAAGGGCCGTGTGCAGTGCCCCAGAGCACTCGTGCTCTAGCCCTGGAGTCCACGACGCCATTGAGCGCAGGTTCCCCGCGAGGAGCCTCCTGCCTGGACATGGGCAGAGCATGTGGGACCTGTCCTGTGTAGCTTGGCCAGGGCAAGGGTGTTCCTTCCAGAGCCTCACCCCAGCTAGTTAATGGGGCACCAAAGGGACATGCCACCAAGTAGCAGGAGGGCTCTGGCTGGGCGTCTGGGTTCCGATCCTGCCTCACTGTCTTTAAATCGCCTGTGTCTGTTTCCTTATTGGTCAACGGGTCAGGGGAAGATTCAACTCAGGAAGTCTGAACATGAGCTATTATCATGAGGTGATGGCCTGTGGTCCTATGGGGTGGGCCCAGGGAGGCCCCAGACCCACCCACTAGCACTGACCTTGAACAGAAATAAGGGTCACATGACATTTAGTGAGCACTGACTGAGCCAGGCCCTGTCCACTGGCCACTTTTGATGGTGGTGGCAGTGTTAGCTTGGTGCCTTACCCTAATCCTTACGCTGATCCTGTGTGGAAGGTTTATTATTATCCCCATTGTATAGATGAAGAAACAGACTCAGGAAGGTTAGGTGACTCACCTAGGAACAGTGCAGGCAGTATGTGAAGGCATGTCTATACTTTTGACCCTACTGTGCCAAGAAACCTATCTTCCTCACGATTATTCACCAAAAATGTTTAGTTCTATCTTCAAGGTGTTGGAGCCGAGGAAGAAAATATTTGCACATTCCTAGTAACTGGCACAGCCCACACCAAACCCATCAGAGTCTGTGTCCATGGCCCCTGCAGCCAGTGTAAAATGTTGACAGTAGAAGCCCAGGGTGTGGCTTAAGTCTGTTACTATAAGGAGGAAACTGACCAGTCTCCCTGCCGTGGTTTCCTGCCATGGGAGCAGTGGCAACCATCGGCAGTATGGGGACGCCAGGCCTGCTAGCTACATCCTGCCCCCGCATCTGTTCCATGTCTGGCACTGCACAGAGTCCATCCTGGGGACCTGCAGCAGCGGGCCTCCTGGTGCACCAAGCTGGGAGCCAAACAGGTGGAGGTTTGCCAAGGGCCACATCCCACTGGCTCCCGCCTGGGGGTCCTACACCGGAGCCGCGTGGTGAAACCCCTTCTTCAGTGTAATCACCTACTTTCACCTCTCCAAATCACTTTTCCAGAAAGTGCCCTTTCTGTACCATGTAAAGTAAGCCTGACCTCAGCTGCGATGCTTTGGAGTGGCCCTCATGAGCCTTGGCTGCCAGAGCTGACGAAGCCTCCGGCTCCTGCAAACTCACCTTCTCGGAGTAGTGCTCCCCGGGGAGGGGCGGGTAGTCACACTGCTCGATCTTCTGGCACAGGGAGAAGAGATTCATCTTATCTCCATAGAAGGGGCTCTGGAGGGCTGCCATCTGCAAGGGAGGGAGACAATGAAGATGAGCTTTTGGCCTCACGGCTCAGAAGGACTGGAGAAGCGGCTGCTCCAGATCGGGGCATGGGCTCTCTCTGGTCCCAGCCACAAGGAGTCCAGCAGGACTTCTCCCCTGAATCGCTGATCACACGGGGGTTCAATAGAGGAGCAGGCGTAGCACCACCATCCTGCTTCTATCACTGGATTAAGTGGGCACGGGGGTTTTGGTGACAAAACTTTAAAGGCAATAAAGAGGGGCTAGCTATATGCTGCATGCTGATCCCCACTTCGCTCCCACCTCAGCCCGAGGGACCCAGGCTCCAAGTGGCAGGTTTCTGAGTGCACAGTCTTATTTCCATAAAAAGCACTTTCAAAGATGCCTGTGGGGAGGAGTGTCTGTGCACTGTACATTCAAGGCGCGTTCCTCACCTATGGACTGACAGGAGGGTGGGTTGAGAAGGGTATAGCATTTCACAGTGCTGGTTCTTGCCAGCTCCTTGCAGAGCTGCTGCCTGTGGAAGCCAGCTGCCAGTCCCAGGGCAGGGCGAGTAGAGGGCTCAGGGGAGGGAGGTGACCTCCTGCCCCCGGACAGGGGGCGCAGCAGGTTGTTTCAGGGAAGCTTCAGGATGGGAGGGAAGTGCCTGGCTCCACAGCCAGCCACAGCTCTGCCCTGACCCCAGCTCTGCACTTGCTGTGTGCCTGGACTTTTGTTTCCTCATCTGTAAAATGTTCCCACCCACAGGCCTGTGGCCAGGCTTGGGCTGGCACATGGAGGAGGTACCACCAGCGGGGCTGTGACCACCCGAGCTGTGGCTAGAGGATTGTGGATTTTCCTGGACAGTCACTGTGCAGAGGAGAAGGGACAGTTTGCGTGTTGGTCCCATGAACGTAGGCCCTAGTTTTTCATGTGTCTGACCGGGGAGAGGAATCGGCAACCTTCAGCTTCAGATCAAGCCCATTTGATCTGAGTTTTGTAAACCTTGCTGCTTGGACCTCCAAAGACCCCAGAAAACAGGGGAACATTTAGCCCCCAAGCTGGCATCTCCTTCAGATCATCTCTGCCCTTCCCAGCACTTTCCCCCCTGTCACTTCAGAAAAGGCTTTTGAACGGGGTCAGCACTGAGCTATGCCAGAGGACCCCTCTTGGCCTTCCCCAGAACAGGCCGCCTCCGTCTGCCCCAGCCTCTCCCCCTCTGCTGCCGGCCACAGGCCTTCCACCCTCATCAGGGCGACAGGCTGTGAAGGAACCTCTGGGCTGCAGGGATTAGAACGATTACCCTGGATGACGAGATCCCCTTGTACCAGTGACCACCCAGCCTCTGACTGGTCAAAACGGAGAGGAATCACTGTCTGGGGCCTCGTTAGAACTGCCGAAGCCACAGCTCTCAGCGTTGCTTCTCAGATGCCACTCTTTTTTCTGGTGTTATCAGGGTGACACACAGCTGAGGACAAGGGGGCGGGTGGGCCCCAGCTCCCCACTGGGAGGGCTCAGAGAAGCTGGTGTGTGATCCGAGCTGTCAGAGGGCCTCAGACACCCATCTCATCACCCAGTCTCTCTCGAGCATGTCCCGGACTGAAGGGTGACCAGAGGCCAGGAGGTCTGCAGCCCTGCTCTTCTACTAGGGAGGGATGTCCAGGCCACTCTGCCATCTGAGCAGGATTCCAAAGCAGCATCCCGGCCAAGGTGCCGCCATCTTCCCCTTGAGTCTGCTGTCTTGCTGGGTCTCAGTCCCAGTGGGGCCCGTCAAGGCTGCTGCGATGAGGCCACCCATGAGGATCCTGGGACTGGCGCGGAGTGAGCCAGCTCCTCCTGCTCCATGCTTGGAGCTGAGCTCCCACGTAGATAAATCAGTCCTGCAGAGCAGGCAGCCTGCTGGGCACCTCCATGGGCATCCGGATAATGAAAACAGCCTGGCCTTCCAATACACCAAGCACAGGCATCTCTGCTCCCAGCTCCCACTGGGGGCTCCCCACCACGTGGCCTTCGAGTCTTGTGATTTACTCTTATGTTCGGTCCAGTGCTCACGATTCCAGCCTCCTTCAAGACACTCTGCTGGGGCCCCACCAGAGGGCCAGTGCTCTCATTTCAGCCTCTTCAAGACACTCTGCTGGGGCCCCATCCAAGGGCCAGTGCTCTCATTCCAGCCTCTTCAAGACACTCTGCTGGGGCCCCACCCAAGGGCCAGCTGCGGGGCTTTGTGGTGGCTCTCACCAGCTGGGGTCAGCACCAGCAAGTCAGGTGCTGCAGGTGGTCCTCAGTAATAGCTGGATGCCCAGGTCTGGGAGAGAGTATAGGGGACTCAATGACGGGCCCCAAACACGTCCAGCCCCAAATTTTTGAGCCCTGTGAATGACACCTTATAGGGCAAAGACGATTTTGTAGGTGTGATGAAATTTTGGCTCCTGAGATGTGGGGATTATCCAGGTGGGCCCCCAGGTAGCCACAAGAGCCCTCTTGAGATGGAGCCTGAGGGAGGAGGCACAGAAGAGGGGAAGGAGCCAGGCTAATGCACACCAGAGGCTGTGGTGACATGAAGAGGGGGCTGAGGACCGCGGTGGCTTCTCCATTTTCCATGGAAGCACAAGGAAACAGATTTGCCCGCAGAACCTCCAGAAGGGCCTGCCTGCTGACACCTTGGCTCAGCCCAGCAAGACTGATTTTGACTTCTGGCCTCCAGAATCCAAGAGGCCCAAGAGAGTAAACTTATGTTGCTTGAAGCCATCAGCATGGTGGCATCTGTCATTGTAGCCACAAGGGACGGGCATAGGGGCTTCTAAGTCTTCTGGCACCACGCTGAGGCTCGGGGAAGGGCAGGTTTTCTCCTGCTGTGTTTGTCACCGGGGCCCAGGTGACCTGGGTATGTGCCTTGTGTGGGATCCTCAGCCGTAGTCCGGAGAAGGTGGCGGGCTTTGTTACAGCTCTTCAGGCTGGTGCGCCTGGAAGACACCACAAGCTATGGGGTGGGAAGCCTCTTGCCAATTACATAGTCCTGGGCTCAGATGTGGCTCCCCTCCCTGTCTGCTGGTAAAATGCTGCTTTGCCTTCCGCTTTCATGACTACGGGAGTGGGGAGGGGGTCACCTGGCACAGAGCCTCTGCCCTGTCACCCTTGGAGGGGCCAGCCATGGGTAGCCACACCAGCCTGCTGCTGTAGGAGGCTAGGGCTGCTCGGGTTAGATCAGCGCCAGCCATCCCTGAGGTTACCAGACTGCTGTGTTTCATTCACTTCCTGCTGCTGATTGGTGCCCCCAGGCTTCGATCTGTCCCCCTGCCCCCACATCCCGGGCAGTACCCGCCCACCCAGCTGCAAGCCGCACAGCCCTTCTCCAACAATTGAGTCAGCTCAGCAGAACCCGCGCCTCAATGCCAGGGAGCCATGAAGGCGGGGCTGCCTCGTGAGAGTCATTTAGGTGCCCAGAAATGAGGACTTGGAGGAGGAGGAGGACTGCCTGACCCAGAGTCCAGTGAGGCCTGGCACAGGCTGTGCTGTGTCTGCCTCTGCAGAGCTGAGACAAAAGCTCGAGCAGGGAATGGGGCTGGGAACCGCAGGGCTGGCTCTCAAGTGGAGGGCCTGGCACAGGGAGAGGGAGCCAGCTGCCTGCCTCCAGGCCCCAGCCCTGCCCCAGCCCCAGGGTAGGTGGACACAGCTCAGCCAGCCTGGGCAGCCTGTGTGTGTTTATGTGCTGTGTGTGTTTATGTTTGGAGACCCCTGTGGTTCAGGGGGGACAGGAAGCAGCTGACAAGAATCCAAAGCAGAATGTTAAACGAAAATCCATCTGGCCCAGGGTCCAGACGCATGAGGAGAGGACGACGAAGCCAGCGGGAAGCCAAAGTGCAGCTCCAAGACTGAGGCTGAGCTGCATTTTGGCTTCCCGCTGGCCAAAGCAAAAAGGGAAATGTGACAAGTGGCAGGAGCCTCGTGCCAGGGGCAGGCAGAAGTGCCCATGCTCAGCCTATGGCTGCTGGACAGGCCCGAGGGCCTTCTCGAACTCGGCACCTCAACCCCAGGGCCTCTTTTACTCCTCACTATGACAAGGCAGGCTAGGATCTCATTCTCTATATGGGACATCTGGAGCCCATGGGGTGGGGCTGACTTGCCCGGATTCTTCTGTAGGGGAGCCATGGAGCTGGGATTTGGATGGAAGTGAGTTGTTGCAAGTGAGTTGCCTACACACATATACATGCTCTAATTCAAAATCGCATTTCCCGACCGTCCACTATGCTGAGGGCATTTGCCTGGGCCTTGGGAGACCCGTAACAGCTGTCTCTGCCCCTCAGTATCTGACACCAGGTGGATGATGCCCACTTCCAGGTGGGTCTGCATCCCCTCCTCAGACCCTAGGGCAGGTAGGAGCAGGGCGGTGACCATAGAGTTCTGAGCCCAGGTTAGCAGGTGACATGGGCGTGGCTCTGTTGCTGGCCTCGTGACCTTGGTGGCCAGAGTGGTCACCTGCGTAAGTGCCTGAACTTAAAGGAGTCCCAGAGAGACTTGAACTCATGACTCCTGGGTGACAAACCCTGAGGCACAGTGGCTCTCCTCACCAGGGGTTCTGCCCACCTGGACTTAACGTTTTCTCTGCAAGATAAAAGGCACACACCCTCCCCAGGGCTCCTCTGAATGTGCAGGTACATGGGGCCTCCAGGCCAGCAGGTTTCTTTCCTGTCGCCTCTCAGAAGAGTTTGGACTTGCACCTCTTTTCTCCTGTGGCTAAGACACTTCCCTCCAAATTCCCTCCTGCATCCACAGCTGTCCCCTGAGCTCACCTACACACCCTGCTCAATGCTCACCACACCAACCCACCCAGGAGCTGGGCTGTGGAGAGGCAGGGAGGACAAATGCCTCATTCCCCCTTCCACCTTCAGGGCACTCCCCCATCCACTGCAGACACTCTCCACGGTTGCTCCAACGAGGTGCTCTTTCAAAGAGCTCCTCCTGCAACCGATGCCCTGTGGAGTCCTGGAGAGAGCACTCAGCCTGCTTCCCAGCTCTGTCAGGGGCGGACTCACCCACAGACCCTCGAGAGGATGCTCTGGGTCACCCACATCTGCTGAGCACCAGGAGAGGGGGACCTAAGCACTAGTTCCACAAGGACCACACCTCCAGTCAGTCTGTTAAAATGAAATATGTGTTCTTACAATAAATAGCAGGTCACTGGCTTATAAAGAAAGATGCTGCCCGCCTGGCTAACATGGGGAAACCCTGTCTCTACCAAAAAATACAAAAATTAGCTGGGTAGGGTGGCGGGCACCTATAGTCCCAGCTACTTGGGAGGCTGAGGCAGGAGAATTGCTTGGACCTGGGAGGCAGAGGTTGCAGTGAGCCGAGATCATGCCACTGCACTCCAGCCTGGGTGACAGAACCAGACTGTCTCAGAAAAAACAAAAGATGCTGTGAAGTATAGACCCTGCAAATGGATCAGGGTTTTGATGTCATAGTCCCAATCTGTAATGAGGGGAGGGGAAATCTCATCACCACAAGACCCTGGCCATGTGAGCTGCCACGGGCCCCAAGTGGTCCAGCGACTGCAGCGTATCCCTCAAGTTCATGTGCAAGGGCTGTGAGGTCAGGCCTCAGACTCGAATGGTTCACGAGGGGGCCCAGCCATCAGGCTCTGTGGACAACTGCTTAGCACTGGAGGCAGGCCTTGGACACACTGTTCTGAGCTCACTGCTGTGGACTGTCACTGGCCACAGCAGCTGAGACAGGTTCTTTCAGTGTGTGGGTTCCAGGCCCGACCCCCCGGTCGGCTTAAGTCAGCTCCAAGGAAAGCAGAAAAACAATCGGGGCTGGGCTTGGTATCTGGCCTCGGGGGGTTTCCAGAGCCCTTTCCTGTCTGTCATTTATCAGGACTAGGACAATGCAAGACAGGTGCTCCTGATCCCGTTTTACAGATGCGGATGGGCTCAGCCAGGCAGATGAAAGTCTGGAGCTGCCCAGCCTTCAGTGGTCTAGGGGTAGCCGGGAGCTTGTGTGGCTGCCAGCCTGGACATGGAGGGCTCAGGCATCCCTCTGCAGAGGCTGCCAGAGCTTAATGGCCATGCTCCCCACGCTCCTCATCACCTGGGGCCCCAGTGTGGCTAGACAAAATGGGTGGGGGGTTTCCACTTATTTGTACTGTCTCATGTCTGGGCCCACCAAGATTCGGAAATGTTCCTGTTCCTTCATCCAGGCAGGCTACCAGGTCTGGAAGTGGCCACCTCCTAGCTCCACTTCCTGGCTCAGGGGAGAAGTGTGGTCTTTGGAGAAACCCATATTGCTGGGCCCAGACAGGTGGCCACCTGTCAGTGGAGAGCGATTCAGGGGCCTGAGGCAGGTCTGTGTCCTCTCCTGACCCTGGTGCATGGGTCCTGACCCATAATAAATAATGAATACAGTCGCCAGTGTGGTATGTGGTTTCCTGGGCAACCTGGACAGGGGTAGCTGGGGATCAGATGCCCGGCCTGTGCTCCCTCTGTCTCCCTTCCTGGACCCCGCCCACTGCTGTCCACCCACTAATAGCCTCTGCCAGCCTGGCCCTGCAAACCAGGCCCCATGTGGGGCTGGGGAGGGTGAAGGACAGGGCCCTGGTGGTACCATGCCTCAAGTGGATGTGACATTCCCAGGTTCTGACCCTGAGCTGGTAAAGTGAGCCCTGCCGTAACTGCCCCTGCACCAACGCAAGTCCCACCAAATGCTGCTGAGCCTCGGGCAAAGACTCACCTCATAGAGCAGACAGCCCAGGGACCAGATGTCGGACTTGAAGTTGTAGCCATTCTCATGGATCCTCTCCGGCGACATGTAGTAGGGTGTCCCCACTGTAACACAGCAAGGGGGGCTGCTTACACTCCGTGCAGGGCAGGGGCAGGGCACAGAGGTGAGGCTGGAGGGAGGGCACACAGGTTGTGGAAAGACTGCGCCTCGGTCTCTGAGCAGCCCCGCTTCCTCTCGGGGCCTGTGTCTTCCTCTGTTGGATGAGCAGCTGGATCAGACTGCAGGTTCCCATGCTATCTGGGCACTACACACCTGGGGTGCTGGGGGCTTGAGGTAGATTCCCTGGAGCCAATAGACCAAGAATCCAGCCGGGAGGCCAGGTGTGGTGGCTCACGCTGTAATCCCAGCACTTTGAGAGGCCGAGGTGGGTGGATCACCTGGGGTCAGGAATTTGAGACCAGCTTGGCAGACATGGCAAAACCCCATCTCTATTAAAAATATAAAAATTAGCTGGGCATGGTGGTGGGGGCCTATAATCCCAGCTACTCGGGAGGCTGAGGCAGGAGAATCACTTGAACCTGGGAAGTGGAGGTTGCAGTGAGCTGAGATCGTGCCACTGCAGTCCAGCCTGGGCAACAGAGTGAGACTTGGTCTTAAAAAAAAGAATCAGGATGAGGCTGGAGAGCAGGGGGTCGGTGTTTCTGCCAACTGCCCAGGGGAAGGGGATGCCATGGCCTGACTGTGGGAAGCAGCTGACCACATGTCCTTTAAGGGGAAAATCCTGAATCTTCAAGAGTCAGGATCAGGCTTTGAACAGTGAAAAGTAAACCCCCACCATGGAGACTGACCAAGATCTCACATGTCAGCTCATTCGTGTTCACAACGGCGCCATAAGGCAGCATCTCCATTTTGCAGATGGAGAAACTGAGGCTAAGACAGGTGAAGAGGTTTGTATGAGAGTGGCAGGAATTAGTGCAAACCCAGACCCTCAGGCTCCAGAAACCGAGCACTTAGCCCTGGCCGTGGCCAGCACCTATTAGACTGTGCAGACTCGGGGTTGGCCTAGGTCTCTTCAACAAGATGGAAAAGGCGCTCCCCAAAAAGGGCAGGTACGGAGGCGCTAAACTAGGGATTTCAGTTCATCAGATCACACCATTCAGAGAGTTAAAAGGCAAGCTGCAGACTGGGAGAAAATCATCCCAGCACATACACCTGACAATGGATGCTACAGACTATACTTCAAAGCTTCTGTAAATCAATGAGACAAACTACCCACTTATTCAAATGAGCAAAAGATTCCAACAGGCACTTCACAAAAGAGAACATCCCAGTGGCCAATAAGCACGTGAAGGGAGGCTACTTTTCTCATTACTCATCAGGGAAGGGCAAATTACAACACAATGAGTGGCCGGACGCCATGGCTCATGCCTATAAACCCAGCACTTTGGGAGGCTGAGGTGTGTGGATCACCTGAGGTCAGGAGTTCAAGACCAGCCAGGCCAACATGGTGAAAACCTGTCTCTACTAAAAATATAAAAATTAGCCAGGCGTAGTGGTGTGCACCTATAATCCCAGCTACTTGGGAGGCTGAGGGAGGAGAATCGCTTGAACCCAAGAGGTGAAGACTGCAGTGAGCTGAGATTATGCCACTGCACTGTAGTCTGGGTGACAGAGTAAGACTATCTCAAAACAAAAAACAACAGAAACAAAACACAATGAGGTGCAACTACACACCCATCTGAATGCTTAAAGACAAAAACAAAGTAAAAAAAAAACAAGGTCAGTGATGTGTGGAGCACCTTGAACGTGGGTAAAACGGTACAACTACTTTGGAAGACCATCGGGTGGTTTCCACCATGGTCAAACACTGCCAACACTATAACCCAAGCAATTCCGCTCCTAGGTAGCTGCCTGAATGAGTGCTTCCATCCATCTAGAGACACAATCAAGAATGTGCAGAGTGGCTTTCCAGCAAAAACTGGAAACAAATGTTGGATCAATTGATAAACTGTGGTCTGTTCACACAGTGGGAACCTATACAGCAATGCAAAATAACAAACCTCAGTTACACACAGCAGAATGAATGCAGCTCACAGACATAATGCTGAGGAAAAGAAACCAGGCACAAAAGAGCACACACTATCATATTTCATCTATGTGAGGTTCAAGAACAGGAAAAACTACTCTATGGGAGTTGTGACCAGGAAAGGGATCCAGGAGCTTCACTGCATGTATAGTATACCTCAGTTAAAAAGTGAAAGAGGGCTGGACGCAGTGACTCATGCCTGTGATCCCAGCACTTTGGGAGACCAAGGAGGGTGAATCACCTGAGGTCAGGAGTTCGAGACCAGTCTGGTCAACATGGAGAAACCCCATCTCTACTAAAAATACAAAAGAATTAGCCAGGCACGTGCCTGTAATCCAACCTACTTGGCAGGAGTGCTAAGGCAGGAGGATAGCCTGAACCTGGGAGGCGGAGGCTGCAGTGAGTGATCACACCACTACATTCCAGCCTGGGTGGCAGAGCGAGACTCTGTCTCAAAAAAATAAATCCATAAATTAAATAAAAAGTGAAAGAGGAAAAAGGTTTTATGGTGAAGGTGGAGCTCTGCCGCCAAGAGGAAGCCAGAGGGCTTTAGGGCCTGTCCTCAGAGTCCCTCTTCCCCGCAGGAAAGGCCCACACAGAGCAAACTGTGGAGCGGTATGCCCTGACCTCCCCCCATTGCCTGTAGGGCCATCTCTGGGCAAAAGGGCACACATTGGAAGAGCTGGAACTGTGCAAAGATGGCTGGATTTCCTGGGGGAGTGGGCTCTCCATTACCAGAGGCATGAAAACCTCAGCAGAGGGGCTGATTTAGCAGGTCTGGGGTGGAGCCTGGGAATCTGGACCTGTAACCTGACATTCTCCTATCAGCCCATTGGGAAGATGGCTATTCTGGAGGCATAGGCCTGGATTTTTTTTTTTTTTTTTTGACAGTCTTGTTCTGTCACCCAGGCTGGAGTGCAGTGGTGTGATCTCAGCTCACTGCAACCTCTGCCTTTTGGGTTCAAGCAATTATTCTCATGCTTCAGCCTCCTGAGTAGCTGGGATAATAGCTGTGCGCCACCACACTTGGCTAATTTTTATATTTTTAGTGGAGATGGGGTTTTACCATGTTGGTCAGGCCGGTCTCAAACTCCTGACCTCAGGTGATTTGCCCACCTCAGCCTGTCAAAGTGCTGGGATTCCAGGAGTGAGCCACTGTGCCCGGCCTGGCTTGGACTTTTAAGGATGCTGAACTGAGAACATTTTCACTGGCCTGGAGACACCATGTCATGTGGCAGAGGCTGCTGCTGTCCTAACCAGAATCTTTGCGGGAGCTGGAGTCCCAGTGTGGCAAGGGCTGGGCTGAGATGTGGCCTGTGACATGAGGAGGGGGGACCCAGGATCCTGGGAGGAGAATGGACCACTCAGGGGCCGGACTCAGAAAGCACCAGGCCCAGGCCTTAGGGTCTCACGGTCAGGAGATTTCGGAAAAAACACAGGTAACTTGAAATTTCATGAAGGAAGGGCACTTAACACACACAAAGCCCCCAACTACCATCTGTGTTAGTCACTGTGATTTTTAAAACAGCTTAACATGATTTAGAAAACCCATTTCTCAAAACTGTGGATAGTTCTTTACAAAATGAACACAAGTTTAACATTTTGAACTTCATTATATTTTTTTCCTTCTTATTTTTTTAGACAGGGTCTCGCTCTGTTGCCCAGGCTGGAGTGCAGTGGCATAGTTATAGCTCACAGCAGCCTGGAACTCTGGGGCTCAAGTGATCTTCCTGCTTCAGCCTCCTGAGTAGTTGGGACTATAGGTATGGGCCACCATGCCTGGCTAAATTTTAATTTTTTTTTTTTTTTTGAGATGGAGTCTTGCTCTGTTGCCCAGGCTGAAGTGCAGTGGCATGACATTGGCTCACTGCAACCTCCACCTCCCAGGTTCAAGTGATTCTCCTGCCTCAGCCTCCTGCTGAGACTACAGGCTTATGCCACCATGCCCAGCTAATTTTTAGTAAAGATGGGTTTTGCCATCTTGGCAAGGCTGGTTTTGAACTCCTGACCTTGGGTGATCCTCCCGCTTTGGCCTCCCAAAGTGCTGGGATTACAGGCATGAATCACCACACTACACCTAAAATGCTTTGTAAAGAGGGTCTCACTATGTTGCCCAGGCTGGTCTCAAACTCCTGGCCTCAAGCGATCCTCCCACTTTGGCCTCCTAAAGTGTTGGTATTATAGGCGTGAGCCACTGCACCCGGCCTTGTTTTTCTGACCATAATGAAGATGGATGAAGAACTACCTTGGAGAGGCTGTGAATGGTGTTGGAAACCTCCGCTCTGGGCTGTGAACCCCCAGGGGCAGGACCTTGTTTGTAGCTGCATCCCCATACTGTGCGCAGGACAGCTCACAGGAGTCCTGTAGGCGTCTGCTCACCGAATGAATGAATCCGCCTGCCTGTTAGCTACGTGGCCGTGTGTGCCAGTGCCCACAATTCTTTGCAGCTGAACACACTGCTTATTTAACTGATGGCTGCCTGGAGCTCAAGTGTCTGAAATGTAATCACTGCTTTATCAGGACACCAAGCTCCTTTTCATGGCAACAATCCCCAAACAAGCACAGCAGCCCTCACTTAAAGCCCTGCTTGTGAGAAAGGTGTCCTCCTCTATGCATACTTGATGAGCGCAGCCAGGGGCTAACCACTACTCAGCAGAAAGGGCTGTCAGTCAGTATGTGAATCTGTGTGGGGTTCTACTGGGAAAGCGAATTGCGACTTTCAGTAGCAACACCTTGTATATTTTGATCATGAGGGAGCAAAAGTAAAGGAACGGGCCAGTGTGGAATGGATGGCTTGTTGTAGCCAACCATGGGATGAAACAGTTCTCGGTGAACAGGGGGAAGCTCAGGACAAAGGTAAGTGGATTCCAGCACCAGGGCTATGGATGGATGTGCCCACAGGCTGGACAATGATGTGGGACCAATGGGGTGCACATGGAGATGGCAGGGGGGAGACGGAGGCAGGGAGTCCTGTCCTCAGTGAGGGACGCCACTGTCCACTCTCTTGGCTACACTGCG